GTACAGGTATGGCTTTTCAACGTACTGATCAATTCCAAACACGATAAAATCAAGAAACAGGAACTCTGCTATCATGTTCATTGTTTCCTCTGACATAAGATGCTGTTAAAATATGACATTTGCGTCAACCTTTTTACCATGTCCGCATCATGTCAATGTATACCTGAACCAATTAAAAGCACAACTAGAAAATACATGCATGCAGAAACCCTCGCCTTGCTAACAAAACCATTGTATTTTCCGAACATGAAGTATCCAAACTAGTTGTCATGGTAACACGATAATTTTTTAAGAACATTCTTACAAATGTAACCCGCGTGCATGCCCAAGGGAACTGATAATGGGCCTGCAAGCAAGGCCCGGTATTTTGTAAAACGCTCCTTTTCATAACACGCCCCATTCGCGCGTCAATTGTCAAAAAAGAACCAATGACAGCAACCCAAATATTAACAAACAAACTCGCATTAAAATTTTGCGGGGTTTTCTCTGCTTTAATATTCAAAATAGAAACAATGTGTAAATGCCTGTGTTAAAACTCCAAAAAAGCAAGCAACGCAGTCAGTAATTGCCAAATTTACAAGTGCTCATTTTCAACTAAAATCGGAACAGGCAAATTAAGACAAATTTCAACAGAAAACCAGTATCAAACTTCAAATCGTGAGGGAAGTCGTGCGACCACATCAGCATTTATAATGTGTGCTTCGCTGTCGCCATTGTTATAAATAAATTGTCTCACTTATCAGATCGTGTGTGCAATTCATGTTGGCGGCGGAAAGTACGAAAATTATTTCAGCTATTTCATTTGGTGAGAACTCTACAAAACAAAAAAGCGTTCATAGTCCAGATCGTTTCGTTTCAAACCGCAATTTAATACCGTCTTCTGTTTTGCTCTCTCAGCGAAGCCTTGTAAATCGCAAAGTATTTTGAATAGACTTACATGCAACTGCATCTCAACATCAACCAAAAGATAATTTTCTTGACTGGAACATATAACGTATCAAGTCTGTTTGAAATTAATGAAACTCAAGTAAAGGTTACTATAGTTTTATACCCCGTCGTATTAAATGTTGCTATTCCAACACCTCACGACAAGCAATCCTCATTGGCATAACGGCAAAAACATCTCTTCCTTCAAGTAAACAATAAACAGTCTGTTCTTGTTCCATTTGTAATCGAAAAAAGTGATCAATTTTCGAATTTTAAGCTTATCGAGAGCCTTTGTCTATGCCTTTGTGATGAATCACTGACTTAATTATAGAATCCAACAGCAAACAGCCAATCAGAATGCCGCGTTCGTGGGCGAACGCGGAAAGTACAAAATACATGGCCTTGCTTGCAGGCCCACTATCAGTTCCCTTGGGCCTGCACGCGGGCTATTACAAATGAAAAATCGCCTAAAAATATCACTTTTAATTACAAAATTATCAATTTCCCAACATATATATGTTAGGTAAGTTATTTTACGTAATATAAGCATCAATCAGTTTAAGGTAAAATTTAACCGCAAACGCTTCGCAAAACGTTTTAAAGTGTTCTTTCTAAAACTAATCTGCCTTTAATTAAATGGCTTTATCGATAAACTTTGAGTTTGCAATAAAATGATTTCAAATTCTCGCATGCAAATAACTGTGCTTTCTTTTTTATTTAAAAAATTCAATATAATAAAAAGGGAATCAATATTAAAGATACACTGAAATTATATGCTGTCTTGTTTAGTTGTTTCATATACGCAAAGGCCGTAGGGTTTTAAATCCATTATAAAATCAATATTTAAAACAAACGTACCTTCGTTAACGTCAGCTCCCTTCTTTTAGCCGATTCTTTCGCCATTTCTTTATGAGAAAGCTTTTGAAGCTTACAAAATCTTGCAAAAATGCGAGCAAAAATGAAATATGTTTGCAAGAAATTTATAAATCATGCATCGAATCAAGAAATGTTTGCTATTTCGCTGTCGTCATGCAGTCGTTATAATACAAACATTAAATTGGACCAATCAGTGTCCGCTATTCATGACAGTCCGCCATATTTTTTAGATCAGTGAGGATGACCACTCACCGAACATCTGCTCCTGCATTGTTACTTGAAAAATTGTACGAAATTTACTTCTAAATTTCCATCCGCAAAGACCCTTCAACATAAAATTATAGGAACCCAGATTTTAAAGCCTCCTATCCACGTCCTACAGTGTATAGTTTTGTTTGCATGCAATTCGCTGTTTGGTTAAGGTTGACTAATATTGTATTTTCAGGCAATCAGCGACGCTCAGCAAGCGACGTCTGGCCACAGAATACTACACAGAAGTCCATCTCCTTTGTTTTTTGCGTAAGCTCTATTCGTCATGATTCGTCACTCAGCAAGTACCGTAAACAGAAGCAGTCACCCCCCTGGACGTGCGCCATTTTGAGTATCTCCAGGGGGTGTGGACTGCTTCTATTTACGGTACTTGCTGAGTGACGAATCATGACGAATAGAGCTTACGCAAAAAAACAAAGGAGATGGACTTCTGTGTAGTATTCTGTGGCCTGGCGTTGGTTAGACAGAGTGAAATAATAAAGTAAGATGCATTTTGCCCATTTTTACTGTGTCTAATCCTAGACAATTTTGCTCATCAAGAAAAGAACGCTGGTGTTCAATGGCGTAATATGATTACAATCTGTACCTGACATCAACTTGTTATATTGATATTGTTGATATTGTATATCAGATAAAGATCGGATGCGAATGTTTTAGTCGGGCAGATAGATGGGAAAAACTTACCATATCGTGGGACAAATCTGTTCTGCCTTCAGATTGCGCCCTGAAGGCTAGTAAGTACATTTCTGTATGTTGGCCGCGTTCGAATTTCTTGTGGGCTCCTGCCAACAGGTTTTTCTTCGAATGTTGTATTAAACTTTATTACAGTTAAAAAATGTGAAATTTCAAATACATTTCCAACACAAATGACTTACATAATTTGTAAGCTTGCAAAAAACTACATAGAAGACATTTAAACGGTTACCTTGGGTTTTCAAGTTCTCTTCAGTTATGAGCTGTTGAATGCGTGTTTTCAGACTAGTACCCAGGAATTTTGCGAGATTTTGGCTTATTTTTCACATTTGAAACGGCAATAACTCGAAAACCGCGCGAAAAACCAAACTAACCATTTAAATGTTTCATATGTAGTTTTTTGTTAGCTTTCTATTGATGCAAGTCATTTGTATCAGAAATGTATCAGAAATTTCACATTTTTTAACTGTAATATGAGTTTAAGGTGGCGCCCTACAGTTTTCTAAAATTTTAAGTATTTTAGGTAACCTTCGTTTTGAACCAAATTTATATTGAACACACTTAAGACAGGGCAATATAATCATTTCCAGGAAATTTCAGATATCTTCTGCTGTCGACAAATGAACAAATAGGAACAGTGTTAGTGTTGCCATGGCAACCATGACGTTTCATCTTTTGCACTTTTATTGTCTAATTTTAGAATCAAACGGCAATATTTTTTTTTCCTTCTGTCAAGTTTTCTGATTTTTTTTTTAAGATTTATGGTTGAAAGGGGAATAACATATTAAAATTTGAAGGGATGTTTATAAGGCAGGTTTTGAGTTATTCATGAATAACGACTACAAAAAATCTGTCTTATAGAATTTCTTGAAATTTTGATATGTTTGGCGAATAGTCATGCTTAGCAAACGTGCAAAGTTTAAAAAGTTTTCACCGAAGGAAACGCGAGGAAAATAGCCCTAAATCCAGTTGAAGCTGTTGACGTGACAAAATATCGATTCGACATGATCACTATTTGCGTGAGGAACACGAAACGCGTACGGTTTATAGTTGACTTTTTTAGCAATTTTCTCTTTGAGTTTTTGGCTTATATGTATCACACAGATATTTTTTACTTAGTTTAAAATGAAAATAAAAGATATATATATTCAAAATACAAAACATTGAGAACACAATAACGCACTGACTTAATCCAACGTTTCTTAAATTTAGTTTTGTTGTGAAAATCGTTGTGAAAACTTTTCAAAACATTCAAGTAGAGTTTGACTTTTCGTATAAAACAACTCGTAACTGTCTGCATTATAGTGTTATTGGATTCAGCAGATAAAAAAAGTACATGTGAACTGAGTTGAATGACAAGATTTACGTAAGTTTCAGTGATAGTTCAGGAGTGCCTTGAACACAGTATAAAATATAATAATTTTCAGTCCGTGACACTGTTGTTGAACATTGTGAGCATAATATTATGCAATACAGTACTGAAACGTATTAAATATATAAAAAAAAACACACAGAAGGTAGGTAAAAAACTAGCTAACAAAATACGTACTGTTCGAATGTTGAAAAGTTTAGGATTATAATAAAAAACTGGCGTTTTCTTTGTAGATAAAAATACAAAAACAACTTCCCGCGGCTTGTTTCAAGATTTTTACCGGACCACGAAGATTCCACGCGCGAGTCGCGAGCATTACGTCTGAGCTATATAAATGGTTTAAACTGGATTATAACTGTAGGGAGCCACCTTAATACAAAATTCGAAGAAAAACCGTGTCGGCAGGAGCCCACAAGAAATTTTAACGCGGCCAATATACAGAAACGGACTTACTAGTCTTCAGGGCACAATATAAAGGCAAAATGGAATTGTCCCACGATATGGTAAATTTTCCATAATTTTGATCCCCTATCTGCCTGACTATTTTAACGTACTTAAAAAACGACCCATCTTATATGAGTTCATTGGCGAAGTAATTTTAAAACTAAACATTGTCTAAGCCGGAAAATCAAAGCTGAAGTTTATGTAGATCAGGACAAATCTTTATCAGACTTACAAACATTGACTAAACATTCATTTCTTTTGAATTCTCTTCATGAATTATTAATGAGTATTTTAATATGTATGTACATACTTACAGGATGTACTTACATAACCAAGCGCCCGAAAACAAAATTTATGCACAGTTTTACCTATCACCAATCGGAATTATTTAATACGCGCCATGAATGACCACTAATGAATGACCGCCGATGATACAAATATTTCTACACATGGCTCATCAGCGGCAGAAATTCAGGAACAACTAAACCATGACTTAGACAACATACACCAATGGTTGCTGGCTAATAAGCTTACTTTGAATAAAGAAAAGACCGAATATATGGTAATTGGGTCTAGACAAAGATTATCTAAAGTATTAAATGAGCCGGAAATCCACGTAGGCGAAACAACAATTAAACGAGTAAGCTATTCTAAAACTCTAGGCGTTGTTATAGATGAGAATCTTACTTGGGAAAGGCAAATCGAAAACATACAGACTAAAATTTCAAAAGGTATCGGCATGTTACGGCGAATGAAAAAAATAATTCCTAAAACAACATTGAAAAAAGTATATAATGCCATTATATTACCACATTTCGACTACTGCAGCCTTGTTTGGGATAATTGTAGTGATTATTTAATTGACAAACTGCAAAACAGAGCGGCACGTGTAATCACTGGCAGAACATACGAAACAAGATCACGCGATGTTTTAAAAGAACTACATTGGCAACCCTTGAAAGAACGCCTTAAGCACAAAAAACTATTTTTTATGCATAAGGTAAGGAATAATGAACTGCCAATTAGTATGATGAATATGTTTGATATTAAAACAAACTCGCGGTATAACCTCCGTAGCAACAATCGAGATTTCACCCTTGACAAACCAAGTACAAATTTTTTGAAGAAAAGCATAAGCTATACAGCCTCTTCGGCCTGGAATAATTTGCCTCTTGAGGCTAAAGGTTCAGGAATTACTAGTCAGAAATTCAAGTCCATTCTTGATCATTATTCCTCGCGTTAAAGTGTATGCACTTAACCTAAATTTAATTAGTGCATTCGTTTGTAAGGGGGAGGGGGGGGGGTAGGGTTAATCGTCTTATATTGCTATATATGCATGCCTGTAGTTCTACTTATCTGTATTGTACTGTATATTTATATTATGTAATATTTTTAACCAAACGGCCTCTTGAAAAACAGGTGCGTAAGTGCCCTGAAGAGCTACCGTTTCCAAATATGATTAAATAATAATAATAATAATAACTAACTAATCTAAAAAGTTCCTGTTATTTTTAAACCGAACACAAACCAGCTACAATAGCCTGCGTTGCAGGCGCTATTTAGGGGGGAGGGCGAGGGTGGGAGAAGCTAGGGGGGATGCGAAGGCGTGAGAAAGAGAGCGTGGAAAAATGGGATGGACGAGAAAGAAATAGCGCCTGCAGGAAAGCCATATGTTTTCTCATATTTCGCGAAATATGAAAACAACGCGAAATTCTGATTGGCTAATACTGCATCAGGAATTATATTCCCTGTGGTTTTAGATGAGTTCAAAATAGCGGCCTTAGTAGATGGGAGTATTGACGAAGTTCTTTCTAAAGTGATTAGCGACCGACCACTGTATTCAACTGAAAGAGGAGCAAGATAAAGCAGTTCGGGACCTTTTAAAGGGAAAATATGTTTTTGCTGTATTACCGACAGGTTATGGCAAAAGTTTGATTTACCAAGCTTTCGTACGAGCGCGTGATCATCAAACGTCAGGGAAAGGAGCTATTATTATTACAATATCCCCATTGAATAGCATTTATATTAAAGAACAGCTAAAAGATATGGAACGGCAATGTTTCTCGTCCGTGTATGCTTAAATCACTATAATTACTATAATCACTATAGTCTATACGCTATAATCACTTTCAACTTAGGGAGTTGCTGTCGTTATTGTTAACAACTTGTCCTGCGATGGGGAATCTCGTTCTTCTGTGTCGAGGAAAAGACTTTCTAAATTCTAGTACTAGATTTGACACACACATTTAATTTCTTTCTTTACACTTTCGTTGTGTGATTTCTTGGCAACTGCCGTTTGCTTCTCTCGCCCAGATCGTCTGAAACCGTATCGTTTTGTTCTTTAATTATCGTTCTTCCTTTACAAATTTATATAGTTCAGCAGCGTTCCTTATATTCCTTACAAGGTTTGCACATTGATCCCATTGGATTCAACTATGGACTCGCACGGGTTCGCTAAAATCAAATTCTGACTGTCTTGTCTGTCTGACGGCTTAAACAAATTTTCAAAGGACGGCTTAAACAAATTTTCAAAGGAAGGCTCACTTTCACATACCGGTACTGCTTTTAGATTGCTGTTGCAAAACCTGCATGTATCGTTAGCGCTAGCCTATTTCGCTTTTCTACCTGCTTTTTTACAATTTTTTTTGGTGTTAACATAGAAACGTACTTAGTATACACGCGCATTAACTATGATTATGCATAGTGTAGTGAAACCAGATCTGTCACTGCAAAAACCATTAGTTGCGTCTAATCACTTATTGGCTGTTTTTTAATGAGGTAATTAAAATGGTAATTATTATAGAAAACTTATACAGCTTCATTCTGAAGTCTGAAGAACACAGTGCAAATTTTATCCAAAAATTTGATGTAACAAAATTCATAAACATCAACATTCAATGATATAGTAAATCAATTCCTCTCATTTCTTCGAACAAAAATTTAATTTAATTAAAGCCTGTTGTATTTATAATGGTTTTCCAAATATATCTTTTTGAAAATTGAAATTTTCATTTATTGATCACTCCTGACAAGCAGCCATATTTTTGAGATCGGCGAGGTTGTCCATCAATACACCATGAACCATGATTCGCCAATGCTTTCCTTTCCCTTGGTGTAAATAGCCTAGTAGAATTAGTACCCTCGCCCCAGATTTACCCCCAGAAAGGCGCTGAGGGCCTTAGCTTGGGAATTAGAGTTTTGCGATCAAATCATTGAGATTGATAAGATATTAATTATGTCAACTGCAACCGAATAATATATATGTATAATAATATATTGTATAAATAAATATATATATATATATATATATATATATATATATATATATATATATATATATATATATATATATATATATATATATATATATATATATACCTCTCTGACCTAGACCAAATGTCGAAAGATAATCAACCCACTCTCAAATTGTTTTACTTTTTTTGGTTTTAAAAAGCAGTCACCTTTTTTCTTTTACTTATTTTACCATTAAAAAGGTTATCGTTTGGACACTATAAAGATGATCAAATATGTTCACGCAAACTCCGGGCCGGGTTGCATGTTACAATGCATGCTTCAGGATAAATCATGCAGATCTGCTAACTTCAGGAAAACCTCGACTTTTGGAGAACAAGAAAATTGCGAGTTACTCAAAACTGTTGATTCAGAAGAACCGCCAGGGAGTTTAAAAAGTGATGGAAATTTTGATTACTACAAACTACTTCAACCCGAAAGAGTAAGTACTGAGAGAACATGTAAATATACAGAGTGTATCAAAAAATTGTTTTGTTTGGATTTTACAACTAAGCCATGGCGTAGGCTATTCCTGGCGTAAGCAATAGTATATGATGCCATTTTGTTTACAAGATCTATATCCTGCAGCCGATCTTCTAGAAATTTTGGCCTACTCACGAGTCACGAGGACTTGTGAAGGAGAGTGCGGCGGTGTTTCATGGGTAGGGTGAGAATTGAGTATTCACGGAGCATTACAGTAAAGTAATATTTAAATTGTTTAATTATATTTTTTCTAGAAACCTGAAGATCTTGTTTCATCCAGCATTCCTCCTCGGATAGAACAAAAAATATCAACAAGTAGGTCTTAGTTAAGAACTTAATTAAGAAGCCTCAATGTACTGTTGCCAACTGTGTGAATTAAAATGTCACTGGCTATTACCTACTTACTGTAGAACAAAGTGGTTTTTACCACTTAATTATGCAGCGACTGCTGCCCGTCAACAAGAGATGAGTTGAGAATTTTGAAGGGTTTTGGATGTATTTTCTTAGGAATAATTTAAATCTTTAACCGATGATTTTGAAAGATCAACTAATTTTCCGAAAATAAAATGTTATCTTCTTTATAACAGAATCAACACAGAATGTGACAACACAAAAATTTTCCACAACTCAATTAAAATTGCTAGTGTTGCATAGTAGCTACTGACAAATTGGAAGCGTTCTTATATAAAAGCGTTCTTATGGCTTGAAGATTAGGTAAAATTGTGGATATATCGGGGGATTTTAAAACGATAACAGAAAAGCGTGGAGAGAACCCGGGGACCCCAATCCCAATGGGCCAAATGGGGGCCCCCAGGCTCAGGCATTAGAGCGAAAACATTGGCCAGGGCCTCTGATATCTTACAATGTCGTTTTCTGACCATCAGAATTCTGTAAAATCTCTCCCCAACGTCCGGGAAATAGCATTTCATGCCCTGGACCCCCTAGAAAACACGTGCATATACGGCAGTCGACTCGTGCCTTCGGCACTTCTACTAGGGGGCCTTCGAAAATTTTGAACCGGGGCCCCCTTATATAACGTTATGCCACTGCGATCTCTTATCGTCGTGTCGAATTAAATGCATAAATTACGTTAAGGTCTGTTTCTGTCTTTCTGATCTCGTAGTTTTTTATTCTGGGTAATGCATGATCACTAGTCATGTAATGAATTCGTCTGAATTAATTTCGTCGAAATCGAAACCATTTTACTGTCGACCAATTAACGAGTTTAATAACGAATTAAATCCGTCTGAATTAAATTCGACGTATGAATGAGGCCTTATTCTGTCTCCGAAAACGGGATGAAAATTTTACATGTAAAAAAGTGTGGTATGTGGCTTTACTGCTTTTGGTGCGGTTGTATCGCGTCAATGAGCTGAACTTTAATCGATTGCTGTAAATCAACAACGTTGATTTCAGGAAGGGCATCAGCCAGAGATGTGTATAGTGCCTTTGGTCCACTAGAAAACCATAATAAACAGTCGTTGATGGTTGGGCAGAGCTTAAGATGCATGCAGTTTTAAGCCTAATGAGGATAGAGGGCATAAATGAGGATATGTGGATAGAGGATGAGGATAGAGGACGTAAAAATGACGATAGAAGGCAAAAAATCCCTCATTGACAATTAGTCTTACTCTAAATATTAAAAGCCAATGCTCGGAGTAGCTCCATGTTGGGAATTTTACGCGGTGTAACACCACCGATCGAATGTCTGCTAGATTGAGCTGCAATGCATTGCTTTTGCTCCAGTATCTGTATGTAATCGTTATGCAGTTGTTCATATGTTTGTAATTAACTTGCTCAATGTACGTAATAATTTTCATAGCTAACTCGGCTATATCAAAAACGACAGATGGCCCGACAACTCAACCAATAAGTAAGCTCACAACTAAAAAAGGTAAATCAAAATTTTTTAAGCTTAAATGATTATTTATTAATGTTTGCAGTTATATAACATCATCTGTTTGTTTATAACATAATCTACCCCCATAGACCAATACACAAGTTTAAACGTATATAATTCGTTTTTCGCGGCTGCTCCCTTAGTAAGATGGAAATAAATATTTTAATTGATTTCTGTTTAAATGTAAAATAATGTAATTCTTCAATTGAATATATTACGCTGTTCTTACTTTTTAAAAGAAAACGCCACAACAAGAAAAATAACAACATCGGCAGAAAAACCAACAAGTAAGCTAACAGTATATACAATTAATTTCAGCCGCTTAAAATCCCATGGAGTAAAATGTAATTTATAATTATGTAGCCTATACAATATGAAAATGTTTTATTTGAAAGGAAACGTTATCTCTCTAATAGAAAAATCTTCACCCCCAGGAAAAACGAAAGACATTTCTCTAACTCAAACAACAAGTAAGAAGGAAAATTTTTCTAATTGATTCGTGTTTAAATGTAGTGAAATAATGTTTATTGTTAAATTGAATTTATTACGCTGTTTTTAATTTTTGAAAGAAAGCGCCCCAACACGAACAGTAACAATCTTGACAACACAGCCAACAAGTAAGCTGATAACATTGTTAAATAATGTTAATAATTTATTAAACAGTTTCAGTTTCAAATCCTATAAGGGACTGGTCATGAAGTAACTGCTAGGGTGGGCTGGAGGTAAATCACAAATTTTGTCAATAAGTTCGGTGACCCATCTTAGGATGTAGATAAAAATTTCAAAGCCTATCTAATCTTACAAAAAAATGTTCATAACCCACCCAATCTAAATTGGGAAAATACACTTTTATAATAAAAAAACCCTGCAGGTATGAACATTGTAAATATACACGGTCCTGTATTGACATACATAATTCCACCAAGCTTGATCAACACATTGATACTAAGCTACTCTGCAGTTGGTTGTATTTGCTGTGATTCGACCTTCTTGTTGTTGTATAAACAAAGTACTGGCTTCAATAGCATCATTTGCATTTGATAATTTGGATAGTTTTGCTTACTTTTATTATTAATATCTTTATTTTTTGAAGTAGACATGCATGGGTTTTTGTTTGGTGCATGGCCCAACCGTGGACACACAAAAAAATTGGCTGCCCATTGAAAGTGCACGAAGATTTTCCATGGCCCATCCCAAATCACTCCAGCCCACCCTAGCAGTTACTTTATGATCGGTCCCTAAAGTAGTGAGATGCAATTTATATGAATATATAATATTTGTGTTGTATTTGAAATATATAATTTTACCTTTCTTATAGTAACATATTCGCCCACAACATTAACAACAAAAGATGTTTCTGGAACACAAGCAACAAGTAATATGGAAATAGATATTTTAATTGATTCGCATTAATATTTTAATTGTTCGTGTCTAATATTAAATGAGACATAATGTTTATTTGTAAATTGAATATATTGCTCTGCTTTTACATTTTAAAAGAAAGCGCCTTAACAAGAAAAGCAACGCCAACAGCTTTGACGACCGAACAAACAGGTAAGCTATCAAAATGGCCAGTTCAAACCGGGTGAAATCCTATGAAGGAAAATAGCTTGTATCTTGCATGTATTCATGTGAATATATAGAACAATCAACGATAAATGAACTGATATCAACTATCAATTTTAAATTTTAATTTTTATATCAACCATGAAATTTTCAATTTTATATCAAATATCAACTATCAATTTTCAATTTTCAATTTACAAAAACATATATTTCGAAAATCGTTTCATGCAATCAGCTTTGAAGCAATTTTGTTTGAAAAAATGCGAAGAATTGAGTTACTATGAAGTATGGAAAATATATGGTAAGTTTGCTTTGCAATGTTTAATGTTCATGAATTATGTTGCTTTATTTTTTCAAATTAGCTAAAACATCAATGAAGCTGTTAATTAGAAAAAACCCATTAAAATATACAGGAGATCAAATTAATCTGAAGACCGATCTGAAATTACTCAACAATTCGAACTTACTTTGTTTAATTAAGCAAGTAAAAACGGTTCATTGGCAAAATCAGTTTCAACAGATGAGTGAACATTTCAAAACATTTTACGAAGCGTCTCAGGTTAAATTTTACATTAATTCAAAGCTCACAAAATGCAATATAACATACATACAGTATACATATTTTCGGAAATTCATTGTTGTATAGTCAAAACACTCATCTTTCAACTATTTTTGCCGTTTTGCACCAAAAAAGCAATTGAAATTTTAGTTGCTATTACTTCATGTTAAATCAATGTCTAGCTGGAAAATAAAGGCGGGGGGGCTGCATGCATGTACTTCTAGTATAGATAATCTATTCCTAACTTGTTCTTATTCATTCCATTGCCCTTTTACAATTCCTTCACTACTATTTCAGATTTGACTTTCTCGAGCAGCAATGTTGATGAGTTACGAATGTCAACAACATGCACAGCTCTGAGGAAAAACGCCCGGAGGAAAAACCTGACTTTGCCAAGTGGAACCTATAACATGACTCATGACAATACTTCGTTTCCTGTATACTGCGACATGAGCTCCAAAAATGCTACTGGGGTAACTGTAATTGGACATGATAGTGAATCAAAAATTGAAGTGAATGGTTACGAAGATGAGCAATCATACCGAAGGAAAATCAACTACGACATCGAAATGAAACAGATTGTTGCAATTATCAACCGATCTGCTCGTTGTGAACAGTATGTGAAATATGAATGTTTGAATGCTGGATTTTACTATAAGATTTCTGGCCTTAGTTATTCTTGTTGGATATCTCGGCAAGGTTCAGAAATGTTCAACTGGGGCGGAGCACCAACCAACAGCTTCATGTGTGCATGTGGAATGAATAATACTTGCAGAAATCCTGAAAAATATTGCAACTGTGATGTAAATGATAATGTTTTGATCGAAGACAGCGGGTTTCTCACTGATAAGAAATTCTTGCCTGTTACAGAATTGCGATTTGGTGACACAGGCACATTCGTTGGTAATAATGAGGTGGGTTATCACACCCTTGGAAAACTGCTATGCTGGGTGTTAACGTTTGCATTCCAATGAAAACTTATACATACCGTATAACTAACCATAATTTGAGAATGATATAATCTATGGTTTAAAATACGATCAACTGTCAATAATTATCAGCTTAGATTTTGTTATATCGATCGAATCTAGTTACTTTTTATCTAGTATTTTGGTGTGATATACAGTTTTAGTGTTCCCACAAGTAATTATTTATGTGTAATGGAAATATAACAGAATGCATTTACAGCCATGCTTAGATCATTACCTTATAAAAATCTATCAAAAACCATGTACCTGTGTCAATTAAATTGTTTGTGATCTTGCTCCAAAGCGATCTGCTTGCTGACCTCAATATGGGTATGCAGTACATAGTCCTATATTCAGTCTGATGCACTTGAACATTCACGATAAGTTTTAACTAGTATTTTTTGTTGTAATTTATAATTTTATTTGAAGTGAACGTACTTATGGTATGTACAGTAATTGGCATTGGCAACCTGTTTTTAGGGGCGTCGTAGGTCCCATATTTTAGGGGGGCCAAGGGCAGCATTTTCCCGACAAACACAATTGAATAGGGGTCTACAAATCCGCCCAAATAGGCAGGGCCATGCCCCCCTTCCCCCTCTCCCTGCCTCCCCCCCCACCCCTGCCACCCTGCCACGACGCCCCTGCCTGTATTAGTTGAAGAAAGTTCCCAGTCTTAGTAAGTGAGGTAGACATCCATAAAAGTACAGCAATGTAAAGACCCGTTTACACTTCTTGCGCGAATTTATTATTCTGATGAATGTGAACGAGTGGATGAGTAATAAATGTTCTGATGAAGGTACATAAACTCAGAGCATTCATAACTTATCCACTCGATCACATACATCAGAAGAAGAAAATCGCACTTGAAATCTCAGAAAAATTTGCAAGTAGAAACGGGCCTCAATACCTAATTTTAAAATGTAAAACAGGATTTCTAAATCTTCGATGCCTAAAGATGTATTTTAGAACTATCAATTGTGAGATCCATCATACCCAGTCCGTCTATGAGGAATGGGACTCGTCATTTCCATCATATGTATCACTGCTCAATCGACTGTTCTATATATAGGCCCGTTTACACTTGAAATATTTGCTGCGATTTCTAGCGTGATTTTCTTCTTCATATGAATGGAAACTAGTAGATGAGTCATGATATTCTGAACTTAACCATAAAGTTCAATCAGAGGAGGTTGGACAAGCAGGCCGGAAAGCATCATGGGTTTGAGTGCCTAATTCCACGCGTGTCTTAAATGACTCTTTGACTGTCGTGGAGTGAACATCTCTCTGACTAAACAAATGTGGAAGCATTCGAAAGACAAGATTGTCAGGCTGCAATACTTCGTGAAAATAGCATGTTGTTGCTGTATTGTTGCGATCCTCATTATGACTTGTGTTTTACTATATATACCAATTTATACCAAGACATATGCCTTTGATTTTGGATTTTGATGTGGATCATATATTGACAGCGAATAGAATTGATAATAAGGGAATAACATGAGTTTTGGATGTCATATTGTTTACTTTTGGCCCGCGTTGTAAAATTTTACGATAAGGGCCAAAAATAAACAACATGACCCAACAAAACTCATGTGATTAACATTATTATCAATATAGAAGAATAAATAATTATAAATATATAACATAACACCAACACAATTACAATGTAGACAATGAATGCTTTAACAATAAGGAAAAACAGTTAATAATGCATTACAATATATAAAATATAAACTGCTTTTGTTGTGTTTTTTTGCTTGAGCCTTTTCCCAATCTCGTCAAGAGCTGCCTTATCAAGGTCAGTGCTCTGGCTTAAAACATTTATATTTTCGTCTGTTGAATTAACGCTAGAGCTAGCCATATTTAATTTTACAACTTTCGTCTCCTGAAAATTTAAAACAGTGTGAAAGCCCGAGAGCAGTCAGAGCACTCATATGGTTTCCTTGTCAAGTTGAAAATTCTGAATATTAATTGGTCGAAAACAATCATGAGACGCACGATTGACCAATCATATGCAGGGCAGAAGACAAGTAATTACCGCCCGTCCGATTCGTTATCGGCCGCGCTTGCGAACGTTTTGACGAGAGCTGCTTCCAATTTGGCCTTCAATATTGATAATAATGAACACTCAGATGATGATAGGGCAGAAAGTGATGACAAGTTAAGTGATGAAGATGAAAGTGATGAGAAAGGAGAAATCGCCAATGCTGTACCATTCAAGAGCATCGGTGCTGCTCATGAGAAAAACTACCAACATCATTTGGAAAATTAAGGCATAATTTCTCACTCTTCATGAACAGGTCAAGATAAAACAGTGAATGTAAGAAGCCAGCACCATTGAATCCAAGGGACCCAATAGGCAATTCCAGTTTTCAGTTTATGCGTGCTGGGGACGATGGGAAGTAAGACATCATATTGCTGAAAATGCTGAAAAAATGAAAATGGTGGCCGTGTAAACATGGAGTGATAGCTTATACTTGCAAATATCGAAATATTTCGGTTGTTTCGGCAGTTTATTAAAATTTTTCAGCACAATCAGCAATATGATACCTTACTTCCCGTCTCCCCCTGCACGCATAAATTAAAAGCTGGAATTGCCTATTTATCTAGACTATGGAACTGGATGGACACATGTCGGTTATATTGCTTCTGAACTATGCAAGTATTTGCGCCCACTAATTGCTGCAGGAGATGTCGTGGATGTCTATGTTTAGTGTATCAAGTATAGCTGTATATCGTTCAATCTTTTAAAATGGGATTTTATCCAAAAATTTTCATAAAAACACCTGGTGAGTGGAGACTCAAGTGGTAGGAAAAAAACATGAGTGTATGTTGCCAGATGTTTCTTATATAATAAATAGCAACTAGCTATGGTTAGCAAGTTATTAGTGCATTTATTTCAATTGGCTAACTTTTTTAGTTTTTTTCAGCATTTCTTAAACAAACGATTGATATTTATATAATGTTTATTAAATTGATCAGGGATCCCACAATAACACGCCTATGATTCTTAATTTGTTATATGATACATGATAATACAATACAAACTTGTTTTATTGTTTTAAAACAAGTGGAGCTCTCTGCTGCTTTGAAATGGACTGTTATGACACTGAGTTGTCCATGCTGAGGTTCCGCAGCTCGATTTGCGATAAAACCCCTAGGATCAGGCGATCAGCTCGTCTGGCAATACGTACACGATCCAGTCGCGTCGGCCAAAGCCAACACAACTTTGAAAATCGAACAGATATAAATTCTACAAGAATATTAAAACAACTCCTAAGTCTTCTAAATAATATGTTAAAACTTTAAAAAAAAATCATTGAAAATATCATATTTGATATGGCGCAAATTATTTCCAATGTATTAGACGCCATTTTAGCGAACGTCGAATACACAATAGTCAATTCAACGGCCAATATCTCGAAAACTGCCGGGGGATCACCGGGATTATTCCAGCGAATTTAAGAGAGCTTGTCTGTAAAAATCGCAATATTCACCATTTTCTGGCACATATGAAAAACTGAAAGTTCTTCAATTTCCCTCGATTTTATATATATTGTAGAGCTATCCAACCCCACATATTTACTGAAGTTTCAGCCATGAAACACAAAATGAAGAAAAGTCAGAATACTTCAAAAATCGAACCAAAAATGACGCGAAATGTCCTAGAAATGTCGCTAAATAAAGCAGTAAACATCATGTGCTGTGCTGAGCGCGCATTATAAGTTTTGGTCTGCTGTTCCAATATATGTTTTTAGAATATATGGAACTTTCTTGTGATATCTTTTCTGCATAAATCGAAATGTTATTGACTTGGTTATTTTAGATCAAAATGTTTGAAATTTCCGGGTTCTCCAAACTAGCCAAAGTACGTCTTGGAAATCGCCTATTTAAAAATGGTCCTACTTTCTTTATAAAGGTACATATGCATAATTCGTTAGGGCTAGGGTGTAGTCATTCGACGACGATTTCAGATGTTTGGGATTCTTTTGTGTCTTGGCGAAATTTGATCTTAAACATGTACAATATTAGCGTAATTGCGTGCTTGGATTTTATTAACCGGCGCGTTACGATTCCAATATCTTACGCTTGTTCTATTCAAAAAGTTAACATGCTTCACTGTAAATGACACTGAGAACACAGAGTTTACTTCTTAATGATTTTCTTTGCATTCAAGTTACTTTGTCTACAGTATATGTGTATATACATACTGCGCGCACGCACGTACGCACGCACGACCAAGCATGCATTTTAACTTTTTTCGAACGTAAAAGACATAGCCGCAGCCCCAAGGTTACACGGCTTTAAATTGCGGTGCCCGTCCAAGTTTGACACCGGCTTTACTGATTCTGTCTGTGAGTTTGTACGTTTATGCGGAATCACAAGCATATTTACTTGATGTAATCTCTAAGGTAATAATTATTTTTATTGCTGCTGACGCTGCATATTTAATTGTTTACATTTCCTATCGATACATTCATGTCGACTTGCATTTTATTACACATACTTTGAAATAACTTTTCTTACGTATCGATTCGACAACATAACAAATTTCCAATTTTCCGACGGGTTTCAACAATGAGAGGGGGGGGTCTGCCAATAGGGGAGGGGGGGGGCTTGAAATCCCGCTTCAGGACAAACTGTTGTCAATATGCAACTATTTATTCTGTCATGCACTTTAGTGTCGACGGTTTTGACTTTGTTTTAGGTTTGTCGCTAGAAGACACTAGGGCACCGGTTTGTTTTATAGGTTTGTCCCTAGAAGATACTAGGGCATTATAGAACTGTGTCTGGTTACATGTAATACTTTCCGTGCATTGTTATATTGTTTGTAAACAACAGTAGCACGTGCAGTCTCGCGACTGCCTGTTTTTTATGTCTGTAGTAAATGGTTCAGTTCAGTTTCAAGTGATTCCTGCAATACTTGTAATGAGCTGTACCAAATTAATATGATGGTAGAGCAGAAACAATTCTTCCCATTAATATTTTTGTCGGTGGAAGTTACATTACATTTGGTGATTGGGAAAACACTTAGACTCTTAGTTAAATATTTCCGTGTAATTTAAATTAAAACTTAATCGAGATAAAGCTAAGGAAATACGAAAAATACAATGGACTTACCTTTATGCTTCAAGAACTGTAACAAACCAATGTAACATAATCAGACAGTTTCAGTTGCAATTAATAACTACAGTGGACAATTAGTCTCGCTGCGTGCGTTTATTTACAACTGTGTTGAGAAAGTTACTTCCGGGTTTATAACAGCGTAGGTTACAAATCAAATAATATTTGATTAATAATAATATTATTTTATCTTGTAAACAATCTTGGAACTGTTTTTTTCTTTACGTGCTAGACCACGACATAATTCGTCGCAGGCACTCTAGAAACGATCACGCTTACCATCCTGCATTCTAACCTTTTTCAGCTGATTTTCCATTTAACGACAACGTTTTTATTTATATTTGTATAGCATTTGCATATATGCATGATTGTGTTTTTCATAGTGTAAATTTGAGTTAATTTAAAAACGCATGACCGATATTTAAGAGTGAAGCGTGTGTTCTCAGTGACGACTACAGGAAACACAGAATCGTTTTGAAAAAAATTTAAGAAATAATATTCACAGTGTCACTCTCCAGTTAATACGAACCACTCATGCAATGGGCAATTCCAGCTATAGATCACATAGACTAAATTTTGATCTAGGGAAGAAGAACAGAATCCATCTAAAAAGAGCATGTTAAAATTAGTAAAATTGCAAAGTTTGGCCGCGAAATGTTGCAAAATGAGGAAAATAATAGCAATACGAAATTTGCAAATTTTGTATACCACATTTGGGCCGATCTCAACAAAAATTTCATCACAGCTTGAAAGAGCATCACAAAATTAGTAATATTCCAAAGTTTCGTTGCGAAATGTTGTAAAATGCGGAAAATATGGCCTTGCAAAGTTTGCAATTTTCAGTCATTTTAGATTACAAACGGGAATTAATTGACAGCCCCAAACCGTTCGAGGCTGTCAATTAATTTCCCGTTTGTAATCTAAAATGACTGAAAATTGCAAACTTCGCAAGGCTATATTTTCCGCATTTTACAACATTTCGCAACGAAACTTTGGAACATCACTAATTTTGTGATGCTCTTTAAAGCTGGGATGAAATTTTTGTCTAAACTTGTTTAGATCAAAATTTAGTCTGTTACGCAAATGGTCTATTGCGGACATATTAATACAAAATTTGCAAATTTCGCAGGGCTATATTTTCCTCATTTTCCAACATTTTGCAACCAAACTTTGTAATTTTACTAATTTTATCATGCTCTTTCTAGCTGTGCTAATGGATTTTGTTTTTCTTGCCCAAAATCAAAATTTAGTCTGTAGCTGGATTTGCCCATTACGCTAATATTGTACATGTTTAAGATCAAATTTCGCCAAGACACAAAAGAATCCCAAACATCTGAAAGCGTCGTCGAATGACTAAATCCTATCCCTAACAAATTATGCATATGTACATTTATAAAGAAAGTAGGACCATATTTAAATAGGCAATTCACAAGACGTACTTTGGCTAGTTTGGAAAACCCGGAAATTTCAACCATCTTTGATCTAAAATAACCAAGTCAATAAGTTTCGATTTATGGAGAAAAGATATCACGAGAAAGTTCCATATATTCTAAAGACATATATTGTAACAGCAGAGCAAAAACTTATAATGCGCGCTCAGCACAGCACATGATGTTGACTGCTTTATATAGCGTAATTTCTTGGACATTTCGCGTCATTTTTGGTTCGATTTTTGAAGTGCTCTAACTTTCCTTCATTTTTTGTTTGATGGCTGAATTTTCAGTAAATGTGTGGGATTGGATAGGTCTACAATATATATTAAAACGAGGGAAATTGAAGAACTTTCAGTTTTTCATATTTGCCACACATTCTGTGATTCTTACAGGCAAGCTCTCTTAAACTCTCTATTTTTGGCTTGAAAAACGCGCGACAGAGTAAAGTGAATAGTATTTATGTACTCCCTTGCTTGTTGCTTCCTGTTTGCTATCCAAAAATGGCGGCAAGATCTGGTCGGCTAATTGTCATGTTGCTTCTTGTTAGTTCGGTTGGCAGATTGTTGAACATCATTACTTCTCGGTTCGAACGAAACTCCGATAATTTCACATTGTAATAGGCGTACGAGATGGGAGGGGGGAGAGTTTAGTAACCAAAGGATATTCAAGCAAATGCGCGAAAAATCAACAAAATTTGGGCAAATATATCGGTAAATGTGTTAAATTTAGATTATTTCATAACCTTACAACTTCGGGCAAATGTTAAGTGTTCCCCGGAAAAGGCCGGCCCCGTAGGCTTATGCATTATATCAATGTTTCCAAATATAAACCAACAGAAAAAAGTGTACATGTCAAGCCGTACTTTTGGTTACCACTGGCTCTCGCCGTCTCGCGAGGAAAGCTAAACCTTAACTGCAACTTATTTAAAAAATTTGTTAAAATTAATTTAAGATTCTCACCTTTCAATTTACATGTTGGCAGAGGTTTACTCCATTGACCATTGTTTAAACACGTTGTCTCACTGGATCCAGATAATTCCCAGTTGCTATAACACGAAAACGTTCTTTTGGAGCCAGGGCTCATGCCAGATCCTTTCACATGTCCTTTCCTAATTTTTGTGATATTTGGACAATTCTTTGGTTGAGCTAAGTAAGAATATATACATATATATATATATATATATATACATATATATATATATATATATATATATATATATATATATATATATATATATATATATATATATATATATATATATATATATATATATATATATATATATATTGGGCTAGTAATCTTCATTTCTGAACTCTGAAGAACCAGAATTGTTCTACCCTGCTCTGTGGGGAACGAATGTATCTTCATATATTTCAAACATTTAACCATTAGTGGAAAAACTAATGTAACAACAACAGCGACAGGAACAACAACAAATAAAAAATAATGTAACAGCGACAACCATAGCGACAACGACAACAACAGCTACTACATATTGTCGTAGAATTTGATCATTTGAAATACTGTTCCAGAGTACATATTAGATCAAATTAAATGTTTAATTTACATTCACAACGAGGTATTCTGGAATCACTCCATACTGCAAAATTACATATTCTATCTGGTGTACCAACCATTTGAAATCCTTGATTGCATCCGAAGGTAAGAGTTTCTTTATGTTTGTATCCATACTTTATAATTACGCCATTTCTCGGCGCAGTGAGGTTTCTGCAAGGGCTTGCAAGAATGCAATATTGTAATTGGACTTTGTCATATCAAAATACAGGACAAACAAACTCACAATTGAAATTAGCAGATCACAATTTCCAAATTAAGAGTAAATTTTGTTATAACTCATAATTATTTTCTCAATACAATACAATGCAATGCAACACAATAAAATACAATAGAACAAAATCTATTTAACAAGAGTAACACCAATTAGAAACGTATTGTATTCTCCCTTTTGTGGCCCTCAATTGTGATTGACTACCCTTTTTGCAAACAACTGGTGCTAATATTTTTATGTTAACGGCAAATAACAGGTGTACGTAAATTACATTTTATTAACACACTTTTAAAAGCAATTATCAACTGCAAAAATAGAATTCGAACATATGAATAT